AAATGAAAAGTCCAGTGTCAGCCACCGGTTGTTGACGCAGCCTAAATGAAAAGCCCAGTGTCAGCCACCGATGGCTGAAGCGGCGCTGAACATGTTAAGCATCTAAAATCATAAAATATGATCATAATAAATTTAATAAGAAATATGTGAGGGATTCGGTCATTAAAATTCTGTGCCATTTTATTCGATTTGATGAACGGAAACATTCTGTTAAACGGGACATTCATTTTTTAAATATATTTATACATTAGTTTCTGTAATTGAGTTTAATTTTCTCTGTGAATGATAATTGAAGATATATTGAAATACTTTTTTTTAACTTAACTTGGGCTGCGAAGAAGGGCTTTTCGTATTTACTCGCGTTGAATATTAAAAAATGCTGGTCAGGAATATATTATTAAACTGCATAAAACGTATAGCTTGTCGAGAAAACCCCCCAGCAGATTTGAAATCAACAACGCGAAAATCTCATGTAAAAGTGAAAAAAACTTCTTATATTAGACTGATATAGAATCTTTTAGCAGTTGCTATACTGGCATCCTTAACGCAAAAAAAGAAGCAGTTTTAAATATATATGCCGTGATTGTAAAATATTGGTGGTAGTTATAAAAATTTTATTTTTCCCGACAAAAGAATGCTAGAATGAAAGGTCTTTTGTTCCAGTTTTTCTTCTTTACAGGGCTATTAACCCTACATTTCCATGCCTGCCAACTACTACACCTTTCATAAATATTTTATAGAGTGAGAGACATTTAAAAACAATAACTTTCTGAATTTTTGGTAATTTTTCAAAACATTTAAAAGTTCTACCACGTTATAACTATAGCAAAGTGGCGTTGCACCATACATTTTAAATCATTTATATGCAGTGGTGTGGAAAATAAGTTTAACTGAATAAGAAATAATACATTAAAACATTAACTTAGCTATCACTGGAATAAATTTTTTCAAGAAGCGTAGAAAGTTGGCAGTCCTGTATTTCTTCCTAGCACTGTGAGCATTTTAGATTTTTCATAAAATTTTATTTTTATTGCTTTAAAGGTATTGAAAACTTTATAGTATGTTAGTTGAAAGCCATTAAAAAAATTAGTCTTGATTTAAGCATTAAATTTTAGAGATAATAAAGAAATAAATAGTATTATTTTTATCTACAGCAGTTTTAGTTTTCCTTTTCAAAAAAAAAAAAAAAAAAAAAAAAAAAAAAAAAAAAAAAAAAAAAAAAANAAAAAAAAAAAAAAAAAAAAAAAAAACAATAAATGTGAAATAATTTTTACCACCATTTTATTTTTCAAAGAAATGGAAATTCAAAAATGACTTAATACGATGGGGTGTCCCTGGCCGAGCAATCTTATCGTTTCTCTCAACTCTCTGCAGCAATTGAAAGTAGCAAGCTCGAATCTCGCAGTAAACCCGGATGTAACAAGGCAAGAATAAATGCCTGACTCCATGCTGTGTTGATTTTGTTAACTGACGCATTTGTAACGATAACAGAGCTGCCAATTTTCAACGCTCTTTTTAAAACTTTATTACAGTGGTAGCGAAAATTATGTTTTAATGTATTATTTTTTATCCATCTAAATATATTTTCCATAATACTACAGATAAATGATTTAAAAGTTCATATACAACGTTACTTTACTTCATACCCTCAGTGATGACGCTTTTAAGATGCTGATTAACTTACCGAAAATTCTGAAATCTTTTGTTTTTCAGGCCAGCCAACTACCACGCTTTTTGCAAATTATTTTACAGAGAGGTAGACATTTGAACACTAAGGCTTCGAACCTTCCATGCTTTCTGTAAAACTTTATTCTAGTGGTAGTTAAGTTCATGTTTTTAATGTATTATATTTAATCCATTTAAACTTATTTTCCACATCACTGTTTAAAAATAAATTAAAAGTCCAAATGCAACACCACTTTGTTCGATCTTTTTCGATCTGTTATTGTTTCGATCCAACAGTTCCAGTCGCCCTAGGGCAGTGTTTCCCAAACTTATAACTTCTGTGTACCCTTTCTAAATTTTTCGTAACGCTGTGTACCACTAATTTAAAAATGAATACATTTTTTACTTCAAAAAAATTGCACAAAAATTAAAAATCACAACTGGCTGTGGACGCCACTAATTATTAACTGTTAACTCTGCAAAAAATAGCCAATGGAAAAATACGTAATCGTAAATTTTAATGGCTATTTTTTGAAGTTTTCGTTTGTTCTAAGATATTTCGCATAAGAACGCGTACCCCCGCTAAACTGTTCCCGTACCCCTGGGAGTACGCGTACCACACTTTGGGAAACACTGCCCTAGGGCAAAGCACAGATTAAGAGGTCTGGTGCCCGCTGACGCGGGCAGATACCTTGCCAAATACAGATCGTCGTCATGCTTTTTCGTGATGAGGCTTTTAAAATATTGGCAGAATTACCAAACATACTGAAAAGTTTTGTTTTTAAATGCCTACCGCTCTGTAAAATATTTAGTAAGAAGCGTAGTAATTGGCAAGTCTGCAAAGACAATGAAAATACGGTGTTTTGCTAATTCCTAGTCCAACCTCAAAATGTGTTTTATGTAATAAGAGAAGAATAAGGAAGAAATGTTTAGAGATGTGCTGATGAGAGTAGCAGCGTTATGTGCCCCAAAATTATATAACACTTTGAATGCCATGGGGGTCACCGGTGACCGGCGAAGTCAAGATTATTAGAAACACATAATTCGGGTAAATTTTTAAATGTTTTATATTATTATCGTTATTAAAATGGTTCAAAGAAATTAATGCAATATAGAACACACAAATATAGTTTTATTTATATACACAGAGATGCCAGCTTGCTCTGGACAGCGAATAAATATTTTAAAGTGGTAGTTTATTAATTGTTATTCCTGGTTTAATAAACTTAATTTAGTAGATTTTTATCCACCACTCTTTCTAAACAATTCATAGGCTTATAAAATTCACCACTATTTTTATAACCTTATAATAAACCTTTTAAAAACTAGCAAAATCAGTCTAATATTTGCAAATTTAGTTTGTAGTTATTTTACCGCTTGGTTGACGGGCAAGTCATGTAAAATTAGTGTAGCATTTCAACGTGTTAATAGTCTTAAAAGTAGACACACTGCTTATTGTTGTTTGATGAGTCGATATAATTCAGATTTTTACAAATTATTCCAGTAAAAGAATAAGACTAATTAGGGTCATGGAACTGTTCACGTCCGGGTCACCAATGTGGAGGCGCAGTTATCGACTATGCCAACCTTCATCTATCAAAAAGTACTTCGTGAATTGAATCAAGTTTGCACGTCTCATATACCTTTTATATACCAGTGAATTGATGTTTAATTTTCGTAGTGGTAGTTACCCCACAGAACCATTAGTGTTCGATTGAGTTCAAGGATGTTAGACAGTTTTTGAACGAAAATGCTCTTATATTTACATATTTTAATCGTATTTTCTAAATTGCATCCTTTTTTAGCAAATATATTGTTTTCCTTCTTAATCCGTCTGTAATTAAATATTATGTGTGTCGAAAAAAATGCCTTAAAGTTTAATAAACTTATATTTAATTACAATGTAACTAATAACAATATAAGAACTTAGAAATTGGGTAAGTCATTTGTTATTATGAATTTCATTTAAAAAAAGTAGCAAAATATAGTCGTAAGATAGCTAGCATCTCTAAATAGCTAAATTTTATACATAAAAGAGTGATGTATTATTGTGATAATTTAATTTAGTTATTTTCATTTGAAAGAATTATAAGCAATTTTTTGAGTACAAAGAGCTTTAATATACTGCGCACGAAAATCAAAAAAAAAAAAAAGAACAGTCTGATAACTATTTAATCAATCTGTCTTTCACATATTAAGAAGCAATTTAATTTTCTCGATTGTCAAGCCTTAAATAATGTATCTAATTAAATATATTTAACTAATGCGGATGTTATTTTAAATTACCAAGTTAGACGCAAAGATCTAATCCTTCTGAATGATCGAATTTTGTTTTCGATGGACCTAAAAATGTAGATGAATATGTCAAAAAATGTAGATGAACGTGCCATTAAAAAGGTTTGACAAATAAAACATATCCAAAATATCACAAAAAAGTTTATGCTCCGTTTTCCTTTAAAATCGTTTTTGAAAATAAAAGGATTAATTTCTTTATGGTATAATCTCAAAACACATTTGTTTTTACTTGTAGCTTTATTCTGGATTATCTATCCATACAATATCCTGAAAGAATATTTATTCAAGATTATTCTGGTAGAATTTCAAGCCAATTCCAACACATTTGACAAAGTTATGAAACTAAAAATAGTGTTTATTTATGATAATGAGAGAAAAACTTCTAAAAAATAAAATCATCAACACTAAGTTGATTACCACAGAAAAACTGAATGCGTTCCTAAAATCTATTTTACACCTCCCCTCAATTAACTGCAGTAATTCAACAAGTTTCGATATTTTTAATCTCGCTTTCCTCGTTAATGATTCGACAGATTTTAATCATATTTTTTCAAGTTCTAATATTCAATGCAAAAAATTGTTTCAAGATTTTAAAATTTATAGAAAATATTGAATTACGGAACATCCTCAATTACTTTCAATTTGGTTTGATAGAAAATAAATATAGTTTATGACATTAGCTTTTAATAAAAAATTACAATTTAAAAATGAAGAATTTATCTTCTTGAGTTTAATAATTGATTGAGTTTTATCTTCTTGAGTATAAGACGCGTCTGCACGCGTCTTATACATTATACGCAATTCCCGAAAAGGAATTAAAATTTGTTGATAGCAAAGATCAATAACCTTATTATTGCTTTTTTTATTAATTTTTTATCTGTCGTTTTATGAAATAATTGTTGAAAATCTGTTATTTTCTTTTGTCAACAGAATCTGACATATTACATATGGATAAACGTCTTTTATCATGCAAAATTGATAAAAGTATCAATCGCTGTGAAAACTGACAACTTTCGAGACATTTTATTATTGTTTAACTTCCACCTGGTTATCTTCTGATGCTTGAATTATAATTTTATAACATGCGATAGTAAATGACATATAAATGTTCTTCAAAACATATGTCAGAGTAGGTTTGTCACTGGAGGAAAAGGTATGTTATGAAATTTTGTTTGCATAAGGTACGATTATGTACTAAGTTACTTTAACGAAAATAAATTATGTTGAATTAAGCTGAAATAATCTTTCAGTGAAAAATAAATAAGAGAAATAGCTAAAATTTAGAATAATGAAAAAAATTACTATCGGTAACTAACTATGATTGGTATCGGATTCGTGGAAAAAGAAACGAATTGTTATAAACCATCGTTGAACAGCTGATCGAATACTGAGCTTACGACTATCAATGTTCAATTCCGTAGCCTTGTAATTTTGAACCCAATCCAGAAGACAGGGTAATAACCTTGTTTCTTGTATTGAGAGAGATTTAGCTTTGTGGAATACTTTGTAGATGGAACTAACCCACATCTGCGCTATGTGGAGAGGAAAACCACGAAAATCTCTAATGGTTAGCCTGTTAGCGAGGGAACTTTAATCCACGATCCATTTACCAATGAGGATATTTTACGTCAGCACTGTAGTCGGTGTAAGCTGGACGCAGAATTCGTATGGACTAGCCATCGCTGGGAGTCATTCCCGATCGCCTCATTGTGAGGCGATCGCTCTATCTTCTGAGCCACCACGGATCAAACGAACTATTTAACGTTAATCTGAAGAAATCAACCAAGAGATCTTCCAAGATAGGTGCAAAACCTTGCAGTACGAACTTCTGCAGAATCAATTGCAATGTTCTTAGCTCACTGGCACAAATCTTGAAAATCGTTAAACGAATCGCCTCTTAGAAAATAACTGAACTATATCTAAACATATTAGTTATTTCAAATATATCTATAGAAGACAACTTTTTACGATGTTTTCTTAAGATTATACACAGTAATTTGAAAAAAAAAACAGAGTAAAAGTATTAAAAAAATTTTGAAAATTCCTAAATCACTTCATACATTCACTGCATGTATTTTAGGGATATTCAGGAAATGTTGCAATCTATAGGATGATTTCAAAACTGCTGGTATTGAAGCAAGAAAGAAGCTATTGACTATCTATGCCAGGGGTGGCCAAGCTCCTTCATAGTCGGGCCATTTTTCAAAATTTGATATTTTTCGGGAGCCGCAATTAAATACGTATTTAAAAGGTATACAAAAGAGGTATTAAATTTTGTTTTTATACATATAAATTATATTTATTGAGAACATATAAGTAAAAGTACAACTTTGTGGATTGAATTTTAATATTATAAATTAAACACATTTATTTTACTTCTCTTGTCAATACTTTCAAATTTGGTGAATAATTGGTGACATCACTTCTCAGTAATTCCTTGAGATGCTGGTTAGTTAATACTGATCAGTGTTTGGATTCACCGAATTTTAAAGTGGAATAAAATTATTCATATAAGTACGTTGTTCCGAATATTGAAATAATTCAACAAGCAGCCTTTTTTTATTCAGAAAACTTCGATTCTGGTACAAATTTCCGAAATTCAGTTATCGACATAGACTTATATTTTAATTGTAGAGCTTGATCGTCTTGCATCTCTATTAAATCTAATTCTCCAGATGCTTTTTGCTTCATAATTATATCGGAAATGAAAACCCACATTGAATTAAACTATGTTGCACTTAGTCTTTCATATTTGTTCTCATTAATTTAAATGATATTTTGAAACACGTACGGAGCGATAATAATTTTTCAAAATATAATCGCACACAAATGAAAAGGGAACTTGGGTACATTTATCGAGAGCCACAAATAATCCGACAAAGAGCCACAAGTGGCTCGCGAGCTGCAGGTTGGCCACCCCTGATCTTTGCGCTCATTTTGGCCGAGGCAAATTCCACATTTTTATCAAGGACACCTTTTCCAAAAGATTCACAGCATGATCTTTCAAATCGTGCCAACAGTTTGCAAAATACTGGAATAAATTTGTTGCTAAAAAATTGTATACATAGAAGTGTTTCCAATATTTTGAGCTACCCCTTTTTAAGAGCAGTGGTGGCTCAGGGGATAGAGCACTCGCCTTCGAAAGAGGTGAACCGGATTCGAATCCCACAGATGGCTGGCCGATTCGAATTCCGCAGCCGACTCGCACCAGCCAAACTGCTCACGTAAAATATCCTCAGTGGTAGACGGATCTTGCGTTAAAGTCCCCTTGCCATGCTAATAGTGGGAGGTTTAGTGGTTTTCCTCTCCATGTAACGCAAATGCTGGTTAGTTCCATCAAAAATGAGCTGATATTGTTTTTAATCAACTTTATACTTAATATGATTAATCACTAACGTAGAGGAAAACTAATGTGGGTTCCGTATGGTCAAACAACTGTCTCATTATGTTTGTACTCAATCACCTGTAATGAATGTATCTTACTATATATAAAATTCTAATGATGGTGTCGCAGTTTTCCATTGCTGTCGGTGCATTTTTATTGGCCAGAAAACCACGTGGTAGGATCCAGTTTTCCCTCATTCATTTCCATATTATTTTGGTTGTCATCAGCACAAAATTAACAATAGTCGTATAGGTATTGTTTTTCTTTAAATATTTTTGTATACCTAATTTAAAGTTATGTTTCAGTACTGCTATTATTAGTGAAAATTTTAAATTATGGTTGCGAACTCATCAAATTTGTTTGAACAATACAATGCTATAAGAATATAAATGTTATTTTAAAAAATGATTACTTCGAAAAACCACTTCTGTTCACCAAAAGATCTAATATTTGGGTAAAGTAATATTTGAGAGTAATATTTAGAGGTGGGAAGTAGAGGCACAAGAGTAAGTAAACAGAATTCCTTTTAGTATATATATGTTAAGTGAATAAGTTTAACTTTAATAGAAAAATTGTTTTCTGTCAAGAAAAAATATTGCAAAGCAATAATCGGGGTTGGTGAGCGGCAGCGAACAGGGGGCTTAGCCCCCTAGTAATTATGTGATATTTCAATGTATGATGTTAATTTTTTGTTTACTTATGTAGGAAGAATGGATCTTAAAGCAATTAGTGTGATTCTTCTGTTGAGCGTGGCGTTTGCCTCTGCCGCGTCGAAGGGTATGTTTTTGTTTTTAAATGTTTTTTATTTTTTATTTGTGTCTATTTATGTATCGTCAAAGCCTAAATTTTTATGACATTTGTAGTTTTTGGAGTCTTCGTTCTTTTAGGGATTTTTTTTTTTTTAAATTTCTTCACTTTTATAGTTTTTTATGTTTTATAGTATTTGTTTTTCGTCTTTTAGAATTTCTAGATTATTTTCTATTCAAGTTCAGGGATTATTAGTCTTTGTAAAATTTAAAAAGCGTAGTAAAAATTAAGAGAATAAAAATGTATTTTAATAAGTTTGTATTCAACTCTATGGCGTAATATTTTTTAAATAAATATAGCGAAAGATCGAATTTACAATAGAATTTTAAAATTAAAAGTGAAAGCTATCAAACGAAATCAGTAGTTTTTTATTAAAACACAACTTTTTTTTATTTTTCATTGTTCTGTATGAATAAGCTTTCTGTAGCTTAAGCTTTTTATTAAAACATTTTTGAACTCATTTTCTTTTTTCAGAAAATATTTCATATAGTTTATTTATTCATTTTTGTATTTTTTTCCTATTTGATGAGTGTTTTTTCTTTAAAGTTTAGTTTATCCTTTTTTTCTTACTTTCTAGGTTAATTTTTTTTTTTACAATTTCTATTGTAATTTTCTAGCGTAATTATTTCTAACTTCAAGGAAAATGCAGCACAATTTTGATTCATTCCTGAATTTTTTTATAATTATATGTAAATTAAAAAGAAATTACATTGCAGATTGAAATTCTCTTTTAGTTACAAGAGAATTTTTTCTATTTTGAAGGCGTATTTAAATTTTTCAGGTCACTTTTTATGTTTTTTAAAGGTATTTTTGGGTCATTTAGTAATTTTTTAAGATATTATTATAGCTTTTTTTTATATTTATGGCAAAATGAACTGCAGATTTTTCTGGGGAAAACTAGAGTTTAAAATAAAACGACTAATCGTGTGAATTTTGGAAGTTAACACGTTGAGCGCCGCGTCAGAAACCGGTGGCTGACACTGGACTTTCCATTTAGGCCGCGTCAGCCACCGGTGCATACCTGCCAACTCTTCCGGATTTTGCGGAAGATTTTATTTTCATATTTAAAGTGGTAGCAATACTCAGGTTATTCCAATTAACTTTTTGAATTATAATGATAATTATAAATGAGTTTGACCACCACCACATATAAATACTTACAATAAGTATATAAAAGCATAATAATCCTTGCACAAGCGAATTTCAACGGGATCAAAATATAAATATATTTTTGAGTCAGATTGTTTTTCGTTTATTGTTTTACAACCACTCTAAAAATCCATTACCGGAAAGAGTGAAAGTTGGCAGGTATGCCGGTGGCTGACACTGAAATTACACTTAGGCTGTGTCAACCCCCTGTGGCTGACACTGAAATTACATTTAGGCTGCGTCAACCCCCTGTGGCTGACACTGAAATTACATTTAGGCTAAGTCTGCCACAGCTTGCTGACACTGACCTTTCACATAGGCCGCGAAAAACAGCTGGCTGACAGCGTATAGCATTATATAAAACTATAACATTTACACTCTATTATGGAATTGAAGAAAATTTATTCAAAATTTACTTAATAACTGTGATTCTTGGTTTAATAAATTCAATTTAGTAGATTTTTATCCACCATTGCTTCTACATTATTCGTAGGCTTATATAATTCACCACTTTTGACAGATATGTCATGATAAACCTTCTAATAAAATAGCAAAATCCGTCTAATATTTGCAAATTTAGTTCGCAGTTATTTACCGTGGCCAGATTGGCAAGCCATGTAAAATTAGCATGGCCCTCAACTTGTTAAATACTGCGCTTTTCTTGTATAAAAATGCACCCAGCTGAGGATAAAGAACTGAGACAAATGCCTGTAACAATTATACAATTTCATAAGTAATTAGAGCTTATAATGATTATAAAAAAACTATAATTACTTAATAAATAGACAAAAGCTATGTTCTGGATTGAATTCTCAGGTAAACCCAATTATCCATTAATAGTTGCAGCAAAAGTATTCTATTAAAAAAGATTCACTGTTAACTAGGCCTTATATTATAGGATCGGGATTATTTTGAGTTCCAAAGTGCAGTCGATAATAGTTGCAGCAAAATTATTCATTTCAAAAAAATCTAGCCCTTTTAATTACGGCATATAATGAACAGGACCATTCCGAGTTCTAAGTTCAGCCAATAGTAGATGCAGCAAAATTGTTCATTTAAAAAATATTCAGTATTGTTTCTGGATTCCCAAGAGTTTTAGAAAAAATTTAATGATGGTTATATATCAGCATTAATAATAGTAAGAATTTATTTTTTAAAACACCATTTCAAAGAATAAGGTTTGGTAGGACTGAATTTTTATTAACATTTATTTTCTTTTAAAAATATTATATCATGGGGATCACGTGTCTGTCAAATGCTCAAATATTTATGTTACAGCTTACATAAGTTCCGGTAGTTCAATTAACTTAATCATACTCATATTATGTGGTAGTTATCTTAGCATCAGCCCCACAAGGGGCTCCAACTAATTCATCTGGGGTTCAATTAACTTCAAAGCTCTAAGCCTATATATGCCAAGACGGAAAAGAGCAAAAACTGGTACAGAAGACATATAATTCCGGCATTTTTTTTTTCGAGAAACATTAAATTTCTGTAACTCCTGAGATTTTTTTTACAACTATATAGCATATATATAAAACTGCTTCGTTCCTGTAAAAGGTAGATATCGTAGAATAGTTTTTTAAAAAAAAAAGAATAGATTTACTCCACCCGAAAATAAGTTAAATCTGAAATGGCTTTACAACCCGCTTTTCCTCTTTTCCGTCTCGCTTTCACCTATCATTAATTTACACAAAATTTTTAATGTTTAAAAGCCATGGTTAGTTCACTTCGTATGTTTATCAATCAATACATATTTAATTGTAATACTTCCATTGCTTTATTTATTTTATGATACAGATCGCAACAACAAGAAGTATAGGGTGGTATGTTACCTTGGAAGTTGGGCAAACTACAGGCCTGGAGATGGACAATTCTCAATCGAGCATATTGATCCTTTCCTTTGTACTCACGTCATATATGCATTTGCTAAATTAGCTGACAACAAGATAGATGCTTACGATCCATATCTGGATTTGAAAGAAAACTGGGGACTTGGTAAACAATTTTTTTATGATTTTTCTGCATGTCTTTTGAAATCGTTATTAATACTATTTTGAGAAAATGCAAAACACAGTCGAACTTCTATTTAACGAAGTCGCAAAATCCCAATGAAAAGTTCCTTAAATGGAAAATTCGTTAAATAGAAAATCACCATTTGAAATATTTAATCCATTCCTTCTCGCTGCCGTGAGAATGACGGGGTGAGATTTCGCCCGCTATTTCTCACTCCCATGATATTAGCGGGATGGAGTGTTTAGTAGTAACGCGTCAATAAGAATAAAACTAATTCATTTCTTTTGCTCGGAAAATATTTTATTTCTCATTTTACACACCTGATGGCAGTACCAGGATATTTTTAAGGTAATTGTAGATAGTTATTTTAAACTAGTACGTAACACTAAACAAATACGTAATACAAAAGTCAAGAAAATAGGCACTTTTATGAGCGTTTTCTTGAAAATTAATCGATCGTTAAGGGATTAAATTCATAAACTCTAGACATAATTAAAACAGCAATTGAAACACCTTTTTCTTGTAAATTATTATCTACTATCGAACTGTTTAACACGTTCACGACGGGAAAAGTTAAAATACTGGAACGGGAAAAGAGAAAATACTGGTAGAAGAACTATTTCAATATTAGATAATATTCGGGAGGAGTTAATCAATTCTCAACAATAAAAATTCACTGTAAGGAAACTAATCACGGCGAAGAAGCAATTCAATATAAAAATTATATCGGTTAAAAACAATTGGTAGATATGGATTTTTGTTATTCCCGGAGAAAAACTAAAAAATGAAACTTATTGTTACCAGTTTTTACTCCGGTGCGCTGCCCAGATGAGACAATCTAGCGTGACCCCCCTGTGGGTCACCCCGGCGTGAACGTGTTAAAATTATTTTTGCATTTTATCACATAAAGGTTTCTGTGATTTCATCTTCTTCGTCTTCCTCATAATTTATTGCTGTATCGCTTTATTTTTCACACTGTTCAAAATATCCAATTCAGTTAATGTTTTAGTGGTTCAGAATCGATAAAAAGAAAATCATCAATCAGTACATCATCATTAATTTCGTGATTTCTCTCTTCGCTGTATCCACATATTTTAAAATTCTTCTAAAGGAATGTCAGTCTCGTCCTCCGCATTTTCCAAATACTCCGGGCTGACTGAGAATACAGCTTCAGCAAAACTGTTACGAATGGTATGATCTGTAACATAGTTCCTCGCTTTGAAATTTCTGTTATGATTTCTCGTAAATTGATTTTTGGCGTGAATTCTAAAATCAAAACAAAATGCAAACAAAAAAGGAAAAGGATTTTACCGCTTTCCATGAAAGTTAAGTCGCTGGTTAAAGTTAAGTAATCAATTCAAGGTCATTTCCCTTATAAAATGCATTTGCAAGTTTGAAATGTTCCGAATCGTACTGTTGAAAAATCGCAAAATAAAGGAATTCGCAAAATAGAAGTTCGTTAAATCGAAGTCCGACAGTAATTTAAAATCTGTACATGCAACAATTTTTATTCTTCAGCCAGCAAACTCTAAAACTGAACTGATTGTTTGACCCTTAATGTTGTTTGACTCTGCTCATAGGTTTTATTTTGAAAGAGATAAATATTAAAATTATAAGTGTATAAATTTAAAAAAAAAGTATTTTAAAAGTTATATTAACTAAGGCTTTAGTGTTCAAGCTGAATAATTAACACGTTGAGCGCAGCGTCAGCCATCGGTGGCTGACACTGGACTTTCCATTTAGGCCGCGTCAATCACCAGTGGCTGACACTGAAATTACATTTAGGCTGCGTCAATTTTCGAAGGAGCACCATATCTAAATATAAGTAGATAGACCTATACCTCCCTTATAAACATGTACATTCAAGCTGCGATGGCTCAGGGGGTAGAGCGTTCGCCTTCCGTGAGGCGAACCGGGTTCGAATCCCAGTCGATATGAATTCCGGATCCGCCTTGCACCAACCACGGTGCTGACATGAAGTANTTCAACTTATTTTCTTTATAATTTCAGATTTGTTTTTCTTGGGTGGTAAATAACATTAAGATAACTTGCTCCACTTTGTGAAAATACTTATTATAATTGTAGAAAATTATGTAGATTCACTGGTTAGTAAATTTTATTTAAAGATTTAATTGACTACCACTATATTTAAATAATTAAAATGTACAAACAAATATTAAGTACTTCTGGCAGAGTGAGGTATTGGTTAATTAGGCACTATTGGCAAAATTAAATAAAGTTAAGTTAATACGTCTTGTTCATTCTCCGCCAGTTTAAATATATTTTTGCTGAAAGAGGAACAGATCAATTTAACCCTTTCGCGCCGACTGTCACAAATACGTGACAGCATAAATCCGTATCAACCAGTGTAAAAAGATAAAACTGGTAATCAAAGTAATTCTTTAGCAGTTAATTTGTGGGCGGAGTTATAATTGTTTGATTTATTTAATTCACCATTACTTTGTTCAAAATAAAACTATTTAGTTATATTTTGAATTAACATTGATTATATATATGATTAAACTAACAATAATTAAAGTAAAAGCAAAGTAAGTATGTAAAATTAGAAACTACTACATTTAAGTTACCGTTTTTTATTTAAATACAACTTGATTCTGATTTTGCGCGAATGCTTTTCTGAATCACCCGTCCCCAAGGGGTTAAAGGAAATTTATAAATTTAAATAGTAAAAAAGAAATTACAATTATTTTAAATACAAAAGTAAAATTTTACACAAAATGCATAAAAGCATATATTTGCCGTTAGAATTACAAATATAACAAAAACAATCGCTAAATTAACGATAATTACAATTAGAGTTTATAATACCTCGGTAATTAAAATCGATTATCGAAGGACATCTTCCAACGATCCTGGTCAACAATGTATTTTAATTTCTAGCATCCTTTTGTCTCCAATTTTTAAGATTTTTCCCATTTGCGATTTAATAGTATATTCCTAACAGGAAATTTTTTTTTTTGAAAATTTATTCGATTGAATACTAAATGTTACCACTTCTCTGCTACGTTGGGAGAGCGAGAAAGGAGGCGATAATACATTTATGTTTATGATGCAATGCGTTAAGGTCACATTTTTGACTTAAGTGTAATTTTCGAAGGAGCACCATATCTAAATATATGTAGATAGACCTATACGTCCCTTATAAACATGTACATTCAAGCTGCAATGGCTCAGGGGGTAGAGCGTTCGCCTTCCGTGAGGCGAACCGGGTTCGAATCCCAGTCGATATGAATTCCGGATCCGCCTTGCACCAACCACGGTGCTGACATGAAGTATCCTCAATGGTAGACGGATCATGGGTTAGAGTTCCCTTGCTACCAGACTAACCGTGGGAGGTTTTTGTGGTCTTCCTCGCCATGTAACGCAAATGCGGGTTAGTTCCATCAAAAAGTCCTCTACGAAGGCAAATTTTTCCCAATATTCGATCTAGGAGTTCCCTTGTCTTCTGGAATAGGTTTAAAATTACAAAGCTACGGAACTGAACATTAGTAGTCGTAAATCCATAAAATTGAGTCTGCTGTTCAACGACGGTATTAAAAAAAACATGTACATTCAGGTTAAAAAATAAACTAAACCAAAAAGATCCTTTAAAAGAAAAAAAGTCTGTAGCTTTCCGAACAAAACTAATTTCGTAATTAAAATCTCCACATCCGGATCAGGTCATAAACAATTCTATAAATATTACATAAAAAATGTGTTGCCCAATGCATACCTGCCAACTCTTCCGGATTTTCCGGAAGACTTTATTTTCATATTTAAAGTGGTAGCAATACTCATGTTATTCCAATTAACATTTTGAATTATAATGATAATTATAAATGAGTTTGACCACCACTACATATAAATAATTAAAATAAATATATAAAAGTACAATAATCTTTGTGCAAGCTAATTTAAATGGGATCAAAAAATAAATATATTTTTCAGTCAGATTGTTTTTCGTTAATTGTATTACAACCACTCTGAAAATTCAGTCTCGGAAAGAGTAAAAGTTGGCAGGTATGCCAATGTAATTTATTTGTAAACAAAGTTATAGATATTTCCTTCCCCCGAAACAAAGATGGAAAGAAAATTTACTTGCTGACAGTTTTTTATAAATCCATATCATTATGTGACAAAATTTCTAATATTTAACTTTACTTTATCACTAGTATAATAATACTAGCGAATTGTGAATATTTTGAGTTTGACAAGTAAATAAAAATATAACATTATTACAGAAACTTAAGACTTCATATAGAACTTTTCTAATTTCCTAACTGGTATTTTATAGAGATTAAATTTTTTTAAAGTTTCGCAAGAAAACAAACGATTTAGGCTTGCATAAGGAAATCTTTAGGTACAAGATTAGCAGGGCTGCGAACCTCTTGCGCTTTTTGGGAAAACTTTTAGTGGTATCTAAGTTTAGGTTTTATTGTGGGAATCTTTGTTTTCTAAATTTGATTTAAAGTTATTTTTCCACTTCATGCAAATTACTCAAAAGATCATATAAAACTCTATACTATCTTGGTTGTGGCAAAGCTTTAAAAATCTCAGACAGAGAGGGAATCTTCTTATCAAAAAGCGTAGTGCTTGGCAGTTCTGCAATAGTATTAAATAATTAAACAATAGTATTAAATAAATAATTAAATTAAATAATTAATAGTATTAAATAATAATTAATGTATAATTTACGAAAATGAAAGGGTAACTTATTTATTTACCGTTGAATTAACGTAAAACGTTGAAAGATATTTTTATCATGAATAACAGACGATTTTTATCATAAAATAAAGATTTTTATCATAAAATATTGCATAATGATATAATATTACGAGATTACTTCAAAACATCTTAAGTAAATAAACTATTATTTCTGACCTTAAATTTGAAACAATAATCAAAATCGAAAACGTAAAATAAAAGCGAAAAATATAAAGAAATTATGATAGCTAAATATTACTCCCAAATACCTTTGAAAATTAAATAAATAATTTTTAGGCAATTACTACCTTACCATTTATTCATTTTATGATGAAGACAGTCAAAAACGTCATTGTCTTTATTAGTTAAATATCATTTTACGTGATTTATATATCCAATGAGAACGCACGAAATTTCTAAGACAATACCATAAACATAAAAAAGATCGTTTGCACAGGACTTCCAAACTATGTGCACCTTTTGTAAAAAATTATTTTAGTGGTAGTTAAGTTAATATTTTAATGGATTTTTTTTTCCATTTATTTCAACTTATTTTCCACTCCACTACATATAAATGAATTCAAAGTTCATATGCAGCCACACTTCGATCTAGCTCTTTTAATCATAAATAGTAAGAAAAACAACAAAATACTTCCCACATCTTTCTTTTTAATACTGAGATCAAACCAGTGAATCACGTTAAATACCTTGGCGTCACGATCTCATATAATTTGAGCTGGAGTACTCACACAAATGACGTAATTAAAAGAGCCAGAGGAGCGTCCTTTGAGCTCAAAGTCCTCCTGAATAACAATGCAAAGCTTGATCTAGTAAATAAAAGAACTATGTATATACAAGCGATTCGACCAATTCTTACGTATGCTTGCCCAGCCCTCACTACCATAAGCAACAACCTAAAAAAGAAGCTATCTACAACTGAAGGTAAATTTTTACGCACAATGACTGGCTCCCCAAGGGCGATTAGCAATAGATTACTTAGAAAAGACTTACACATTGATGATATCAAATGCTTTATAGCTAAATTGACCACAAAATTTTATGGCGACACAAAAACATGTACATGCACCACATCCGACTTCAATAAGTTGTTCGATATTGATATGATCCGTGATAATTCGAATTTCAGCCCAATTACCGCCTTTTTATGCTCAGACTGCATACTATCAAAATACTATTAACTTTATCACACAAACACACACAGATAAACTCTAGGACTACGGCGAACCCGGTGAAGGAGCAACCCTGTAGGGTCCGATCCGTGCAAGCCGTAGTACTATTAATATTAGAACAGAGAGTAACCCGGTACGAGCGGTGGATTACCGGTACGACCGGGTCACTGGTATAGCAGAGGTTCACATTACTCTTTAAAGTAAATAAATTTATTATGCTTATTAAATAACGTACTAGTCTTAATTATATATCTTGTATATATTTTTGTATATAGTTATCTAAATGTTACTTACATTTTATATTAACATTACTCTAATCACACTCGTTTCTTGTGCCTACAGTGTATTTGACTATTAGCCTGGCTATACTTTTCCTTATTTTTCTTCTTCTCCTTGACTATGGGGGTTTTCCCCAACCTAAACCAGCTTATGACTTTAATAATAACTTTCGATTCATATTTCATACTAGTGCAGACGAATCGGTCAGTGGCGCTTCGCGCCAAACACCGAGTTAAAAAGATATCCAGCTTCTAGCTCTTTAGTGGTGAGGGTTTTTAAAATATTGCCAAAATTACATCTAAAAGCTTTTGGTATTTAAATATTCGTAGTTTGTAGTCCTGTTTATGTACACTAGTAGCATTTGTTTTGTGAATCCTACAATTACCTTAAAATTTTAGGAGCATACCAGCGATTCAACGCTCTTAAAAAGGCGAATCCCAACTTGACAACACTTATTGCTATCGGAGGATGGGATGAGGGCTCCAAAAAATATTCAGCAATGGCTGCCGACCCAGCTGCCCGAGCAACATTCATCAAAAGTGTCATCAGTTTCTGTGAGAAATATGGATTTGATGGACTTGATGTGGATTGGGAATATCCAGCCAACCGTGGTGGAAAACCTGAGGATAAGGAGAACTTTGCTGTTTTGCTGAGAGTAAGCTTTAGTTAAGTTAGTTTAGTTTAGCTAGTTACATAGAAATGAACAAATTTTTTGACATGGTTGTAACCTTTTTTTCTGAAGAATTTACTCATTGTTAATGAAAAAGCAGAATAAAGGAACTAGGTGTGCTGGTAGGGTATTGGTATGGTGTACGACTGACTGACGCAATTTTATCGGAGTGCCTATCCTAAGGGGATATCTGCTCCTTCATCTAAATTGTATTAAAAAGGAGGATGGAAAGGGTGGTGCAGGGGTTAACTAAGTTAAGTCTCAATTGGAAACATTTTAAATTAAAATAAAATCTAGGATAAGTATATACATGTTAAACCGCATTGGGATACATAAAAAATTAATTAGAGTAAGAATTAAAAATAGAAAAATATTTACAATTATTTTAAAAGTTTGGAAGACTCCCTATGCTCTCCTCAACTTAGGTAAACAATACACATAGGCACAGGCTCTTTAGTAGTGAAGCTTTCAAAATATTGTCAAATTTCTAAATACATAATATATATATACATATATCATACCTGCCAGCTTTTCCGGAAGATTTTATTTTTCTATTTAAAGTGGTAGCAATACTCATGTTATTCCAATTAACTTTTTGAATTATAATGATAATTATAAATGAGTTTGACAGCCACTACATATAAATAATTACAATAAATATATTAAAGCATATTAATCCTTGCGCAAGCGAATTTCAAAGGGATCAAAATATAAATATATTTTTGAGTCAGATTGTTTTTCGTTTATTGTTTTACAACCATTCTGAAAATCCATTATCGGAAAGAGTGAAAGTTGGCAGGTATGATATATTTATGTTATATATATATTAATAAATATAATTACAAATATTTTATTATTTTTATTAAATAGTGGTTGTTACGCATAATTTATTTCTGGTTTAAAAGGTAAACTAGCAGTTTTTACCAGTTATTAATACTTTTCAATTAAGAAGCAGCCCTGTAATTATTATATTAACTTAACTAGTCCTTTTCATTAACTGTTTCCAGGAATTGAAAGCTGCGTTTGCATCTAATGGGTATCTCTTAACAGCCGCTGTATCTGCAGGAGTCAAAACAATGGAAACCGCGTATAACATCCCTGAAATCTCCAAGTAATATACTTTTTTTCTTCAAAATATTAAAAGTATTGCTCTAATTTATTTTACGATTTGTCATAATTTTTTATGTTATCATCAAACAATGCATTTTAATCGAAAAAGTGTAACAAAAATTACCGTTTGCAGACCAATAATATTTTACACACAAGTTCTTCAAAAATATAAAAAGTTTTTAATAGTCGAATCGAAAAAATTTTTTTATCATTTTTTGCAAGATGTACTACCAGAAATGTATATAAGTACTGTGGTATGTATTGAGTGCTCAGGGTTACGGATTCAGATTGTTAGAGAGTCAGGCATTAGAGAGTATGGTTACATAAGATGGGCTGCTAACTGCCCCGCTTTCTGCAAGAGTTTTAATAAATTGGTGTCGAATTATAAAGTAAAACTTGCAGAATATGGGTAATGAAGTCCACTCTTGAAAAAAGTATCCATAAATTAGTGTAATTAAGTTGTATTTCCGATGATATTTAAAAATTTTGATATACAGCGGTAGAAGAATTACTAAAACTGAAAAATACTAAACTAAAAATAACTTACATTTCATTACCAGTTGAAAAATATTTTTCTTCCCATCGAGGCAAGCAGAGATGCCAACTGCTCCGGACACGCCAAATTAATTTTTAAAAAAAACGGTAAATAACTGCAAAGTAAATTTTGCAAATATTTGACGATTTTTGCTTGCTATATAAAGGGTATAGCATAATATAAGTATTATAAAGTGGTGAATGATATAAGCCTACGAATTATTTAGAAATAGTGGTGTGTGAAAATCTACTAAATTGAATTTATTAATCCAAAAATTACAATTAATAAACTACCACTTTAAAATATATATTTGGTGTCCGGAGCAAGTTGGCATCTCTGGGCAAGTTGGTATCCCTGCTAGCGTGGATAGCTGTAGATAAACGGAAAATTTCTTATTAAAAGTGTCACCACGAAATACCTGCAGTTTAGGTATTTTTCTGATGATACACTATTATATCATAGATGCCAACTTGCTCCGGACGGCAAATATATATCTGAAAGTGGTAGTTTATCAATTGTGATTTTTGGTTTAATAAATTCAATTTAGTAGATTTTTATCCACCACTATTTCTAAATAATTCGTAGGCTTATAGAATTCACCACTTTACAGTAATTATGTCATGCCATACCATTTAAAAAGCAAAGCAAAAATAGTCAAATATTTGCAAAATTTACTTTGTAGTTACTTACCGTTTTTTTAATTATTTTGGCTTGTCCGGAGCAGTTGGCATCTCTGCTACATATCAAAAATTCAAAATATTAGATGATATGCAACGTTATCAAAATTCAAGATGTTCGAAAGCAACCACGATAACTGTTTACCTACATCAAAAAGCTTCCACATGGTCTTTTATAAGTAGTTGTGCGCATGAACTCAAAACCTTTTATAAAAGTAATTGAGAAAAATTCATCATATTTAAGAATTGAATCTGTAGTAGTTGACATGTGAATAAGGCAAGCCAATAATATTCATAAATAAAACAAAATTTTAGTCATATATTTGGTACCACTTTCTTATTTTAACTAGATTTTATGTTAAGTGACTCGTTCGGAACTTCGACATACTTCACAGTGGTCTGATCAAACTTCCTATATAAACCTTTTGGAGACGTTGGCGTACCTCAATGATTGCTTAAAAAATGTGTATCACTTCATGGTGGAGGGGATAGGGGCCCCTGCCAAGTTCGAATGTCAAGTGAAAATTCATGAGAAAAATTACTTCACAAATCAAGATGAAAAGGTAAAAGCCTTGAACAATAATATGACTATGTACTACGCAGTTATCTATTAGAGACATTTTTAAGGAATAGACGCAATTATCGGTATTGTGCAAGTTTTATTACTTAATTCGTTAGTTCCTAAAATGTAACATAGACATTTAAGTGGTTAATTATTACTATGCAGCAGTCGTAAAATGCCACCAGAAACTGAAAATTTGAACTTCTAGAACGGAAATAGAAATTAGAATCAGAAATTTTTCTTACATTAAATACAGCATTTTTGAAAACTATTAATTTTAACATAAATAAACAAAAATAAAAAATAATGAAACCCCTTGAACTTTTAGCTAAGTGATTAAAAACCGTAATATATTTTTTTTTATAAGGAAATCACAAAAGCATTTTAGCTTTGATATAGTTTCAGGGATATCAATTTCTCCACTTAACGCAAAAACTTTCGCAAAGTAGTAGAAAATTTATAACTATAACTTAGAGGAATTTTGCCAACACTTTCATCTTTCGTTTACAGAAAAATTTAATCAAGGAATTTTGTCAAGAAAATTAAGAGAGTTTTGGTTATCGTATGTACGTCCGCAATTAATCGATTAACTTTATCATCCCATTTGTTAAATTTAGAAAGTGGTTAGTTAAATGCAGTGTTGTTTAAGTCTTTCATCGCAACAAACAAAATAACTCGTCTTCGAGGAATACTAGCTGTGATCTATTGTTGTATTAGTAAGTATAATTATTGATTGCAATTACTTATTATTTTTTAAAGTAAAGTAATTAAGTCTTAAATTAATTTGCGTTTTATTTCACTTTTAGTGCTGCAGGGTGGGAACTCTATGATGACAAAGACGTGTCATTGCCATGCTAAATTGTAAATGGACGAAAACAATTACAATTTTAGAGGTTAATATTATTGTCAAAAATTAGTGTCATAAACAATTTCCACCGCCTCTAAAAGAGCTAAAAGCATCAGCTCAAAATAATTGTAACTAAGTGTTGTTATATGTGAAAATCTGAGCTATTTATATTTATGTTAGATATAACAAACTTCTAATTGCATGTAAGAATCACAGATCAATCCGAATTTTGCCCCGTTGAAAAATTTTTTCCGCCAAGTGGAATACGTTTGCATGTCTCTGGTGGACCATTTTCGTCACATTTATGACCAAGTACAAGAAATGGTTTATATATGAAAAGTTACTATCTATAAAAAGTCGTTGTGCATGTTTGCTTATACTAAGATAATGTTTCTTTAACTTAACATTTTAGCTTCAGGAAAAGAAATGTGCTTTGACTTCAATATACTATGTTATTCAATATGATAATTCAATATTATCAATATACTATGTTAAAATAAAACTATCTTTTTTCTGCTAAAATAATTAAAGTTATGAAACACGTTTATTCTCCCTTTTTATGCTCTAAATCAGTGTTTCCCAAACTTATGACTTTTGCGTACCCTTTCTAAATTTTTCGTAACACTGTGTACCACTAATGAAGAAAAGAAATGTATTTTTTACTGTAAAAAATTTCTCAAAAGTTACAAATCACAACTAGCTGTTGACACCACTAATTATTAACTGTTAACTCTGGAAAAAATAGCAAATAGAAAAATACGTAATTGTAAATTTTCATGACTAGCTTTGTTTTTGAACAAAATTTTTTGAAATTTTCGTTTGTTGCAAGATATTTCGCGTAAGTACGCGTACCCCCGTTAAACTGTTCCCGTGCCCCTGAGGGTACGCGTACCACACTTTGGGAAACACTGCTCTAAATCAAAAAGATCATAAATAAATGTAAATCAGGAGAGAACATAAATAAATTTAAAAATTAAAACTTATGTTTTGATTTTTACAGATACCTCGATTTCATTAACGTTATGGCATACGATTTTCATGGATCATGGGATGAAGTTGTTGGTCACAATGCTCCAATGCGTGTCAGACCAGAAGAAAAAGATGGTCAAAGGACACTGAATGTTGTAAGTTGCAACTGATACAAAAAAGTAAAAAAAGATCTTACTTTGACCGATTCTCGCTTAATCTAACTAGCAGCGCTCTTTTCCTTTAACCGGTTTCATAATTTTATGACTGGCGATGAGCTGTCGTTACATAACAGAATTGTGGATACTAAAGTTCGACTCTGTAGTTTTGTAATTTTAAACCCAACTCATAAAGCCTGAACCAGACATTGAGACAAACTTATCTTAGTTTAAGATGCTCCCTGCATTTACATGACAATAAGAAGAAAAACCCACTAGAACCTACCATAGTTAACACTTTACCGACCGGCCGTCGATTAATCGACGTTTTGTTCTCAGCGCTTACCGACCGGTCGTCGATTAATCGACATTTTGTTCTCATCGTATACCGACCGGCCGTCGATTATTCGACGTTTGCTCCCCAGCGCTTACCGACCGGTCGTCGATTAATCGACGTTTTGTTCTCATCGTATACCGACCGGCCGTAGATTATTCAGCGTTTGCTCCCCAGCGCTTACCGACCGGTCGTCGATTAATCGACTTTTGACCGATCTGTGGTGACTACGTTTTCCACCAATTCAGCATGCCCTGAAAAAAATTCAGCTGTCGTTTTCTCGAGTGCAGCTGGGTGCGACCAGATTTTCCTGCGAAAAGAGTCGGGATTTTTCATCGTGCAGCTGGGTGCGACTAGATTTTCCTGCGAGGAAAGTCGGGATTTTTTCATCGATATGAAGGCAGGGATGCCAACNCAGGAATTGAAAGCTGCGTTTGCATCTAATGGGTATCTCTTAACAGCCGCTGTATCTGCAGGAGTCAAAACAATGGAAACCGCGTATAACATCCCTGAAATCTCCAAGTAATATACTTTTTTTCTTCAAAATATTAAAAGTATTGCTCTAATTTATTTTACGATTTGTCATAATTTTTTATGTTATCATCAAACAATGCATTTTAATCGAAAAAGTGTAACAAAAATTACCGTTTGCAGACCAATAATATTTTACACACAAGTTCTTCAAAAATATAAAAAGTTTTTAATAGTCGAATCGAAAAAATTTTTTTATCATTTTTTGCAAGATGTACTACCAGAAATGTATATAAGTACTGTGGTATGTATTGAGTGCTCAGGGTTACGGATTCAGATTGTTAGAGAGTCAGGCATTAGAGAGTATGGTTACATAAGATGGGCTGCTAACTGCCCCGCTTTCTGCAAGAGTTTTAATAAATTGGTGTCGAATTATAAAGTAAAACTTGCAGAACATGGATAATTAAGCCCACTCCTGGAAAAAGTCTCCATAAATTAGTGTAATTAAGTTGTATTTCCTTTGATATTTAAAAATTTTGATATACAGTGGTAGAAGAATTACTAAAATTGAAAAATACTAAACTAAAAATAACTTACATTTCCTTACCACTTGAAAAATATTTTTCTTCCTAGCGAGGCAAATTGCTATCCCTGCTAGCGTGGATAGCTGTAGATAAACGAAAATTTCCTTTTATAAGTGTCACCTCGAGATACCAACAATTAAGGTGTTTTTCTGATGAAACACCACTACATATAAAAAATTCAAAATATTAGATGAAATGCAACGTTATCAAAATTCAAAATGTTCGAAAGCAACCACGATGACTGCTTACCCATCACCTCCTACATCAAAAAGCCACCACATGATCTTTTATAAGTAGTCCGCGCAGACTACTTAAAAAGTGAACCAGTTGTGCGCATGAACCCAAAACCTTTTATAAAAGTAATTGAGAAAAGTTCGTCATATATATTTGAGAATAGAATCTGTAGTGGTTGACAAGTGAATAAGGCAAACCAATAATAGTCATAATTAAAACAAATTTTTAGTCATACATTTGCTACCACTTTCTTATTTTAACTAGATTTTATATTAAATGACTCGTTCAGAATGTGGATATCCCTCATAGTGTGCTAATCGCTCTGCCTATAAAAAACCGCGTGGAGGCTTATAAAATGTGTATCACTTCATGAGGAAAAGGTAAGAGCCTTGAGGGCCTATTAGAGACATTTTATAAGGAATGGACGTAATTGTGCAAGTTTTATTACTTAATTCGTTAGTTCCTAAAATGTAACATTGACATTTAAATGGAATTATTATTATGCAGCAGTCGTAAAATGCATCCAGAAACTGAAATGTTGAAATCCTAGAACGGAAACAGAAATTAGAATCAAAACTTTTTCTTACATTAAATACAGCATTTTTGAAAACTATTAATTTTAACAAATTTGAAATACAGATAAACCCCAATATTTAAATTCTTTAAAATAAATAAACAAAAATTATTAAACCACTTGAACTTTTAGCTAAGCGATTAAAGACCGTAATAGAAAAAAAAAATTTTTCGACAAAGGAATCACGAAAGCATTTTAGCTTTGATATAGTTTCAGGGATATCAATTTCTCCACTTAACGCAAAAACTTTCGCAAAGTAGTAGAAAATTTAGACCTATAACTTACAGGAATTTTGCCAACACTTTAATCTTTCGTTTACAGAAAAATTTAATCAGGAAATTTTGTCAAGAAAATTAAGAGAGTTTTGGTTATCGTATGTATGTCCGCAATTAATCGATTAACTTTATCATCCCATTTGTTAAATTCAGAAAGTGGTTAATTAAATGCAGCTTTGTGTAAGTTTTTCATCGCAACAGACAAAATAACTCGTCTTCAACGAATACTCGCTGTGATCTATTGCTGTATTAGTAAATGTAATTATTGATTGCAATTGATTATTATTTTTTAAAGTAAAGTAATTAAGTCTTTAATGAATTTGCGTTTTATTTCACTTTTAGTGCTGCAGAGGAACTCTAAGATGACCAAGACGTGTCATTGCCGTGCTAAATTGTAAAGGGGCGAAAACAGTTACAATTTTAGAGATTAATATTATTGTCAAAAATATGTGCCATAAACAATTTCCACCGTCCCTAAAAGAGCTAAAAGCGTCAGCTCAAAATAATTGTAACTAAGTGTTGTTATATGTGATGTGAAAATCTGAACTATTTATATTCGTGTTAGATATAACAAACTTCTAATTGCATGTAAGAATCACAGATCAAAATCCAAATTTTGCCCCGTTGGAAAAATGTTTCCACCAAGTGGAGCACGTTTGCATGCCTCTGGTTGACCATTTTTGGCACATTTATGACCACGTACAGGAAATGATTTATATATGAGAAGCTACTATCTATAAAAAGTTGTTGTGCATGTTTGCTTATACTAAGTTAACGTTTCTTTAACCTAACATTTTACTTATAAGAAAAGAAATGTGGTTTGACTTCAAATGCATGGATAAATATTTACATTATCAATATATTATGTTAAAATAAAACTATCTTTTTTCTACTAAAATAATTAAAGTTATGAAACACGCTTATTCTCACTTTTTATGTCCTAAATCAAAAAGATCATAAATAAATGTAAATCAGGAGAGAACATATATAAATTTAAAAATTAAAACTTATGTTTTGATTTTTACAGACACCTCGATTTCATTAACGTTATGGCATACGATTTTCATGGATCATGGGATGAAGTTGTTGGTCACAATGCTCCAATGCGTGTCAGACCAGAAGAAAAAGATGGTCAAAGGACATTGAATGTTGTAAGTTGCATCTGATACAAAAAAGTAAACAAAGATCTTACTTGGACCGATTCTCGCTTAATCTAACTAGCAGCGCTCTTTTCCTTTAACCGGTTTCATCATTTTATAACTGGCGATGAGCTGTCGTTACATAACAGAATTGTGGCTACTAAAGTTCGACTCTGTAGTTTTGTAATTTTAAACCCAACTCATAAAGCCTGGACCAGACATTGAGACAAACTTACCTTAGTTTAAGATGCTCCCTGCATTTACATGACAATAAGAAGAAAAACCCACTAGATCCTACCATAGTTAATACGATGATAAGCTAATTCTAATATGACATTGCATTCTCGGAAACAGTCTTTCAGAAATATAAGGCATTATAGTTAATAATGTGCCTGATAAGAAACAACTGAATAGATATATTTAGTGGGCAAACTTATCTAATAAATCAGTATACAGAGTTCAAAAAAAAATCAATATCAACCTAAATAACTTTCGTTCCAATGATCAAGTTTATCTGCCAATTTTAATGGTTCAAGTGGGTGACCTCAAATATGGTAATTGATTAGTACTATCATGGTCGGTTCGTTGCCTACCATAAACCTATCACTTATTTTTCTTTCGATAGATTTGGATTTTCGGCATTCAAAATTTTGCCGTTGCCTCAATCTAGAATTTGCGTTTCCAGCAATTTCACAGAAAAACGATTGAACGTGTGGCCCTTTTTAAATCAATTACTCTTTTAGAATATGTCACTTTATCTCGAGAACTAACGAAGAGAATCGAAAAACTTTAGTACACAAATGTAAAATTCGTTTCTCCAAAATTATTTCCATGTCTAACTATTTATAAAAATGTAATGATGGCGTCGTAGTTTCTTGTTGGCGTCGGTCGGAAAATCATATAAAAAGATCCATTTTCCCTCATTAATTTACATATTATTTTTTATCATCATCAGCATAATAGTATTACCAGTCATAAAGATATTGTTTGCATTATAAAATATTTTTGTATCCCTAATTCAAACATAAATTATCAAAAATATTTATTTTTCTCAATATCCTTATTATTACTTTTTCGATTTTAATTTTTTTCTAAATTAAAAGTTTGAAGCTAAAAGAATTGTTTTTTAAACCCAAAATTGGATCAACTCTCAACGACGGCTATAAATTTAAAAAAATTATTTGTGAATTGTGAGATCATTATTATTTATAAATTATCAATTCTGTAAATCTTTCATTTAAGGAATATGCCATCAATTACTGGATTAACAAAGGAGCTCCGAGAAACAAAATAGTTTTGGGAATGGGGCTTTATGGAACATCCTTCACTTTAACTGATCCATCCAAAACTGATCTTGGTTCTCCAGCTAAAGGACCCGGTAGAGCAGGTCCCATAACCAAAAAAGACGGAATGTTAGGATTCAATGAAGTAAGTATTGCATTAGAAACCGTTCTCTTAATTCGCCAAATAAAGATCTTTCGTAGAAATTGACATTTCAGTTAAGCTGTTCTTCATCAGGTTCTCCAGCATCTTAAGAAAATTCTTTGAATTGAGCTAAATTCTGCGATTTCATAGTTCTTTTTGCGCTAAGTAAAAATGATAGTCGTATTATCAGATTTGAGCTTTTCCAGTGCCCAGTTACATTTTGTCATTGTTTGGGGGAAAGGATTTGTATGACATATTCTGAGTACATCCGATAAACTTTCTGACGTTAGTTACATTATATCACATTAAACTCGATTTATCCTAATCGACAGCCATCTATCGGAATAAAAAAACAATTATTTACCTTCATATACTCTACAATATTCCAAATATGACTACTATTGAGCAATGAAATTGTGCTATCATTATTTCCACATCTACCAAATATGACCATGACTCACTTTCGTGAATTTTAAATTTAGTACAGATTGATATATCCTTACTTTTAGGCGACAAGAGCAGGCCTTCGATCAGAGGTCGTAATATCCTCTAAAATACTAATATGGTTAACAAAATATTTCAGATTTAGTTTCCAATTTATAGTAGAAAAACACACGTTTGGAACGACGCATTTAGAACTGGATCTAATCACTTTAATAGTTAGCTTGCTCTGGTAGTTAAGATATCATAGCCTTTAAATATCTTAGCTCTTCTACAACTTTTTTTTTAAAAAAAGCACTGCCGAACACTACTTCAGCCTATAATGAAGTAATATAATAATATATATACTTATTAATAATTAGCTTACTTTTCTAAGCCAGCTTGCTTTTTCTAACAGTGTTTAGATAATATGATGGTGACAATTTGCCGTAGCTTCTTTAATTTCAATTCAAAGTCCTTTTATCATATCAATGAGGTCTATTCAAAAATTATTCTACCAAAATTTATGTAAACAAAGAATTACAATATTTTAATGTAAACAAAGTTTTGACTACAGGACGTCACGCTTATTTAAGGAAGTGTACCAGAAAAAGAGTTTATAGAAGCTCTTGTTGTATACAGATCAGTCATCCTGATCTAATGCCATCTCTTAAAACATTGAAATTTTTTGGTCCCATCTGTTTTGTTAAAACTAATTCGATAAGTATTCCTTAAATTAGAAAAATACTATTCATGGGACTAGACACTCTTTGTCCCTTACATATTCATTTGTACAAGTGTACAGATCTATCCTAAACCCGCTCCAAACCCTAAGCGATTAGCAAATATATGAAAAACACTAATACGAAAAAAAGTAATAGTTCATATTTGTTCACACCAAGTGGATGTTTTGCTCTGCTTCTTAGCACTTTAGCAGAGATGCCAACTGCTCCGGACACGCCAAAATAATTTAAAAAACGGTAAATAACTTCAAAGTAAATTTTGAAAATATTTGGCTATTTTTGTTTGCTTTTTAAAAGGTATAGCAGGACATAAGTACTCGTCGTCGTCTTATGTTGCTCGAGGCCTTTATGCCCCGAAGGGGCCTTTTACCTCTCCATATGATGTTGTAGATCGTAGTTAGGTCAGTCGTCAAATGGAAAGCCTAGAAGAGAGGGGAGAGAAGAAAAGTGAAGAAGGTGGTGATGGGCGTGGCCTGATGGATGCTGCTCGGTGATTGGCTGGATGGCTAAGCTTGGTCTGAAGTGAAAATTTTGGATGTTTTGGAAATAACTAAATTTTGGAGAAGTTCTAGCACTTCTGCTTTGTCTAAAAGTTTATCTAGTTCTGCAATTAAAATGAGAGATCTGGCTGTTGGTGAGAGTTCTGGTTGGATGGGATTGGAGATAGTAGCTCTAGTATTTCGTCTGGATTGGAAGGTCTTTTACAGCTGGCGGGAGGGACAGCCGGTGAAGTTTGCAGTATGGGAACCGGCACAATTAGCACAAGTGGCAGGAGTTGATCTATCTTTACAGCACTGGGGACATAAGTACTTTAAAGTGGTGAATTGTATAAGCCTACGAATTATTTAGAAATAGTGGTGGATAAAAATATACTAAATTGAATTTATTAAACCAAGAATCCCAATTACTAAACTACCACTTTAAAATATATATTTGTTTTCCGAAGCAAGTTGGCATCTTTGCTTTAGCTTTTAAAAAGCACTATCTATAAACTTCGATCTGAATATAGATCTTTACAGCTGTGATACATTACGGTAGATAGAACTATCTTGTTTTTGCAAAATAAATACAAATAAAGAAACACATGTAGTACCATTTTTTTGTTGGAAAAATAGACAGTCACATTAAAATGACTGTAGACACAACAGAGACACATCTACTTCAGTCTTTTTTAACCTAAAAACAGTACACCAGGCGCCCACGGGCACAATCTCAGATGAAGGAGTGGAGTGTCCGCTTCGCGGACAGGTACTCCGTAATCACACTCAGTCTTAAGTCACAAACCTATGACTTAACCCGGGCAAGTAAAAGTTGAGGGAATTGGAATTTATTTTGAGAAAAAGTGACATTAAAAGTGAACAGTGTAACTATAACAATTTTTTTTTTTAAACTTGGGGATTTTTCTCGTGAAAACAATCGGAAAAATAAAGTAGATATTAACAGCGCTCGAAAAAACTCAGAAATTTTACCCGTCCCCGAGGACGGCTTGTCCTACAATGTACCCGTCCTCCTTTGAAACTTACCCGTCGCTTCTAAATGAATAGATTGCCGTATTGCAAATTGCGACAGATTACCAATTTACCATACCGAACGGGAATATCCAGCTTTGTTTCCACAAGAAAAAAATGTAGGAACGTAGTGTATTACCACAAACGACCAGAGAATGGAAATACTAGCGAGAATCGTTTCAAAAAAAGTGTTGATTTTATAAATAAAAGTCAGCTACTTTTTCAAAAGTCAAAGTACATTTTCTTCTCATGGCACTTTTTTGCACTTTTATCTGAAGACATTTTGCCATCCCGTTTCAATTTATAATGCTAAAAATCTAGAAAAAGCAGTTTTTCCTGTCCGTAATAAACTTTTCAACTGATGATTTGTTTTGCCTTGAAATGAAAAAATTTTTTTTGGTACCATTTGAGCTGGAAAAGAGTGTCACGCACGTCCGGAGCTCCTTGTTAAAAAATCGAAACAACGTGCTGTACACGTTACATGCACAGGTCGTTGTAAGAGAAATGAAAAAGACGTTGGTGGTTCATATAAGAGAGATAGAAAAGTTGTCTGTTTCGATTTCTATAATACCTAGAATTTATACCACCTAGCGGTGAGATGCCAACCGCTGTTTTGTAAGCTCATCTGAGTATTCTATGCCTAGCGCAAATAATTAAGCATTATTGCTTCAAAACTTAATTTTAACACAACAATTTAATATTAATAACTATTTAAGCTTTAATGAAAATTTAATATTTAAAAATCGTAATCTTACCTTGGATCATGTTTTAATTTATTGATATTGAAAAATCTTACCTTATTTGCGTTTAAAATCTGACTTTAGTTTCTTGTTCGTAAAATGCTTATATTTGTTTGTATTTCACACCAGATCTGCTTGAATCTTAAACAAGGATGGAAGGAAGTGGTCCCAGCTAAAGTAGACGCTCCATATGCATATTCAGGAGATCAATGGGTTGGATATGATGACAAAAAGAGCATTGGAATTAAGGTGAGAAATTAAGAAAAAATATTAATTTCAGAAGAAAAAAGCACCTTTTTCTAACATTAGAAACCTCTAATTACAAGAAGAGAGATAAGTTATACCCAAACTGAAATTTTCATTGCTCCTAACTACAGTGTAAGTTTGTTTTCAGTAAAAGAAGGTACCGTATTCCATATACCAAAACTAAGAACAGCAAACGTTGATGCACGTGAAGATATTTGTTATTGTTTTCTTTTAAATTTTAATCTTTGGAAATAAGACCTTCTAGTATGTTATGGAAGCAGATAGCGCAGGAGAATATTTGTGTTTGTGTTCTGTTGCAGGAAATTGTTTAAACGGATCTTGGATATTTCGCGTCGTTTGTTTCAAATTTGTAATCGGCTTCTCTCTAGAAGCTACAGTTTTTATGCAACTTAATAACATATTCTTTATCAGGATTTTTAAAAATTCAATGCTCATTATTATTGCATGCTAGAATTTTTAATTGTATCAAACCTTAAATTTTCAAAACATAATTGTCGTATATATAAGATGCATTTATAGAAGTTTTGCCCGACACAACACATAAATATGTGTGTTTACACACATGTGTCGATACGCACATAAATATGTTTCATATACGCGTAAATATGTGTGTATAAAACTTATATATGAAATACTATTTTAAATTAAGTTACTATTGCTAAGGGTGATTGCAAAATATGATGTTTTTTTTAATTTTTTTTTAATGGCGGGCACTTGGGGATTGTCCCGTTGGCCACAGGAATGCCAGAACTGCTACTCTCTTCTCGTTACCCAGTGAGCACCTGTGGCGAAGACACGGTGGTGGAGCAGCGTCGCCCACGTCACACCACAAACCCGTTTATAGGACGGGCCACATTCACACAAAGGAGAAAGGACATAGAACACACGCAGAGAGAGAAAGAAACATCCATGCCCTGAGCAGGATTTGAACCCGCGACCATCGGCTCCGCAGTCAGGCACGCTAACCACTAGGCCACCTGGCCGGCAATATGATGTAAATCTGCAAGATTTAATCCTAATATCCTATCAAATTTTAAAAGTTTGTTTACAGAAAGCATTTTCTTCCATTTGGATGAGGTAAAAAGCATATGTTCTTATTACCAGTGTTTGGAGATAACTACTATCCCTAAAGTTATAAAAAGCTAATCCCCTACGTTTTACTTGCTTATTCTTCTACAAAAAATGTCGAAAAAAATGTAATATGTAACTCGTAAATTTTCAAATGAGGGAAATGTAGAACGCTATTCATATGGTACTTTATATTCCAGGTTGACTATTTAATCAAAGAAGGACTGGGAGGAGGAATGGTTTGGTCATTGGAGACTGATGATTTCCGAGGAAATTGCTACGGCGAAAAATTTCCACTTTTGTCACAAATTTACACAAAACTTAACGGCCCTGTTGTCAAACCTACCATTAACCCAAACATTAAGCCAACAGTTGGACCAAAACCTACTGAAACACCTAAAGAATTTACTTGTCCAAGTGAAGGTTACTTCAGAGATCCTCATAATTGCTCAGTCTTCTACTATTGCGTACAAGTAAGCAAAGGTGAATTGGTTAGGCATACCTACAACTGCGGAGAGGATTCAGCTTTTGATGAAGCTTTAAAAACGTGCGTTTTGAGGAAGAATGTTCCAGGCTGTTAATATTGAGCGGTTTGAAGTTGTTAAATAAAAGTTTTTAAGTTATATTTTCTGTGCTTTAATTTCCTATTATTTATTTTTTTCACACAAATTTTTCCTTTAAAATTTTGCTTATAAACTATCTTCAAGTGTTCTCTTCTACCTATTTTCATTATGGTTCTATCTTTACCCGGAATGGGAGTTGTAGTTTCAAGGAAATGCATGCGTATAAAATATCGTTGCTTAGCAACCAATGATGAAAATCTGGTATAAAATGAAAGAATCTTACCAAATTTATCTCAGGAACCAATAAAAAGTGGACATTTGATAAACTTCTCCCTAAATAGAGAATTATTTGACGAAATTTCTCCTAACTAGCACAGAGTGCCTTATATATCTTTTAAATTGCAAAAATTATTTCAGTTCTAGGCTTTTATTTTTCTAATGATTATTCATGCAGTGATTAAAAGTTTCAAATTTGAATATTTTTTAGCAAATAACTTTAAAGAAAATGGCAAATGAGTAGAAAATGTACATTTGCTAATTCCTACATTTAACTACAATTTGTAAAATGGTTACATATAAATGACAGTATATACAAGGTATTCCAAAATTTATGGTATTAAAGGATAATAGAAAAAACTAGACAATCAAAATTTACCTTACAATCCATGTTTGAAGTACTAGTCGTAAAGCGCTAGAGCACGAATGCTGTGTCACAAAATGAAGGGAAATAAGTCAGATGTGAAAATAAAGAACACCTGATAAAATGATGAAAAACATTTTATTCAACAAATTGAAATTAAACCACCCTAAATTTCCCACTACGGAAAGAAAAGTTGCAGCTGCCAACATTAACAGACGGTACACACTGTCTGAAGAGTGACCACCTTATACTGGCAAAAACCTCAAGGCATCTCTCTAATGGCGTCAAAAGCTACGGATATCCTGGCAATAATAAAAAGAAGAATCATCAGAATTTATAGACTCATCGTCGTAGACGAGGCTCTTCATATGACCCCCCCCCCAAAAAAAAAGTCCAGACATGACAAATCGGCTGAGTGGACCGGCCAGATCATTGGACAGCCATATTTCCCATCACCCCGGGATACATGATATCTAAGGTGTTAAGCACATCCATACTGTGATAGGTGGGGCCCCCGTCGTGTTCGCACCACATGCGTCGTTCGATGTGTGCTGGAACACGGTTTAGTATTTCCGTCAACACATCTTTCAAAAACAGAAGTTATGAATCTCCATTCAGGCGTTTTGGCAGTAAGTATGCCCTATCAGAGAACTGTGCACGATTCCGGCCCAATCGTATAGTGCGAAACGTCACTGGAATGATCGTGGACACGTTGCGTTCGTGTCTTCAGTTGCTCAGACACGATAGTTGCGGATATTCGAAATACTCTCGCTTGTGAATGTGCATTCGTCAGTAAACAACAAATGAACACAATTCGGGGCCCACAGCTGTCTGTTTTAGAAACCACGTGGTACTACGGGCTACTACATTAAATTAATAATGGGCCTGGTAATCCGATAGTTCCAGGCCCTGAAATCTCGGCTTAAGGTAGGGATGCATACCTTCATCTCGTAGCATTCTCCACACTGTATTAGGGAAACATGAACGACTTGGGACAGTGTCCATGTGCTAGAGCCAAGCTTTTTGCTAATACTATGCACAATGTCTTCCGTGATAAATGGTGGCGTCGTAACACTTCGGCCACATCCGGTAACGCAACTTGAAAAAGACACGCAACTTAAAAAAGAACCTCTTTCTCGTGGTTGTTGGTGCAGTCGTTGAATTTTTTAAAAATTATTAAATTTATTAAAAATTTCTTTGTCAACTAAATTTTCATTTTTATCATTGTCAAATCCGCGGCTAAAAATCTTCTATCATTTATTAAAGAATTTTTAAAATAAAAATTTATTTTGCATTTAATGTTAATAAATTCTATGAAACCTTCAGTATTAAAATTTCGTAATTAAAATTCAACCTAATTATAAACTTTGAATTATCCAGTATAATATTATTACCTTGCACACATCCAGTTTCGGGCCCCATCACCCATTTTTCTATACATTCCCTAATGTTACATTGTTTGAATTTTATATAATTAATCCTTAAATAAGGTAAACTATTTATAGAGAGATTCTTAGACGCGTAACCTTAGAGAAATATAAGGGTTTGCCCATGGCAAAACCCTCAATTTGTTCTTAAAAATTACCATTGAATTGAAATGGAGTTTGCTGAATACAAGAATTGACAAGGGAGATAATAGCTTCAATTTCAACGAAAGATTAGGGAAATTCTCTCAACTGTAGTTTTAAACAATGAATGGCAACGGAAATAGAGACATAAGTGAAAAGAGAAACAACATTAAACGAGAGTATAGTTTGGTTGTGGGGGGGGGGGAGACTCGCTAGAGAGAAAACAAAATCATGGAAATTTTTAACAGTATGGATATTGTTGCGAGCAAATTTATAGTACGGAGTATCAATGCTCGACACAATAGGTCTAAAAACAAGTTGATGCTTGTAAACTTAAGAATGGCGTAGAAACGAGCACACTTCGAAACTGCAGAAATGATATCATGTTTAGTGTAATACGAAGGAGAACGAAAACTTTATGTTTTATTTTTAACAGCAGTAGAATGAGAACAGATTTTAAAATTGTGTTAAGGCCATAGGCAGACATATTCTTAACATAAATATAGCCATGACCAACCCCCTTTCTCCCATTCTTTGCTACATATTCATGCATTATTTCATAGATGTATTTTGGAAATTATTCAAATTCTTACTGAGGAAAAAATGTGCTGACGATACGTCTGTCTTGTCTTATTTTTAAGATTTATTTTTTGTTGCCAACTCGGTTATCCCGAACATTCAATTTGCTTTAACTGTTATCAGAGTTATTAGGATCTCCTGAAGATCTTGTTAACTTTGATAATCGTTAAGGCATTTACTACTTTTCTTGTCACTGCGACCTTTGCTACACCGGACAAAACAAACGCGTTTTAAAATTCTGACTTAATAAACACGGTAGATCTGTAAGTTTTGAAGAATACAAGAAATCATCAATAGCTACATATAGTTGGAATCTTGAGAACAAACTCAATTTTAACAAGGACAAAATTATTTTTATCCCAGTCACATCAGCTCATCTTGATGCCCCGGAATCTTGTTTTTTTTTCTTCTTTTTTTTTCTTCTTTTTATTTCAAATGAATTCTGATGCCCTTGTTAACGACATTAGTTCCTCACTACCTCCATAGTTCGTGGAACCATTAAAAAAACTAACATTAAAGTACGTGCTATAAACTACAATTTTATGAAATATGAATAGTTGATAGCTTTAAAATATTTGACAAATTAAATAGTCTTTAGTTAAATTTTAAGTAATGGCTAATGCTCAATCAGTCAGAGAATTCCATTTCGCTAATCCGCTCGAACGGTTAGTCATAGAATGTTCTAATGTCGACAAAAACCTTCTTCGTGCTTCTAACAATCTGTATGCCAAATTTCATTTCTTTCTTTCGGATAGTTTAGGAGTCAATAAAGAACTCACATACATTCACTTTTATTCATATAGATACGTCACAAATAATATAATGATTATTGAGCATAATCATACATTTTCATAAACAATGTTAGCAAGCTGCGAGATTTTTTATTTGATATCCACAAATGACGTCATCGTCGGTGAATCCTAGACTTTGTCGATTCGGAAGCCAATCAGGATCAACACACACGCATGACTCAACTCACAGGTATCCAATAAAATCTAATTTAAATCACGTGGTTAGGCATAATCACTTCTTCACTAGTTGCAAGCTCTACATTTTGTATAATTTAAATAAATAAATAAAAACTAGAAAAATTATTTTTGTTAATCGTCTTTTCAACATTTTCTCATTGTACAAAAATAATTAAGCTGTTTTTTTTTCCTGGAGTATTGATTCGGATGTGGCGATTTCAAAATTTTTGTTCAGCTGCAAATTTGTTTCAAAGTCATATTTTTTGCCCAAATGCACAAAGTTTATAAAGAATATTACATACATCCACACTTTCACGCTTCTTTGAAAAATGAAAGATAAATTAAAAATACATACGATTTTAACCTACCGCATTATAAACTAAAGCGTATTACAGAGATGCCAACTTGCTCTGGACAGCAAATATATATTTTAAAGTAGTAGCTTATCAATTGTGATTCTTGATTTAATAAATTCAATTTAATAGATTTTTATCCAACACTATTTCTAAATAATTCGTAGCCTTATATATTACCACTTTATAATATTTATGGCGTTCTGTACCTATTAAAAAGAAAGCAATATTAGTCAAATATTTGCAAAATTTACTTAGCAGTTATTTACCGTTTTTTTTTTTAATTACTTTCGCGTGTCCGGAGCAGTTGGCATCTCTGATATTATCTCCTTCTTCCTATCACTCCCTACGTAGCAGAGAAGTAAAAGAATTCAGTACTCCCTCTTGCGAATTTAAAAAAATGCAGGTTAGTAATGTATTATTAAATTGCCGAAAAACTCTTGATTTGTTGAGGGATATAGTTTTCAGATTTGAAATTAGCGATGCGAAAATATTTACGTTTCGTTCAAAATATTAATTCCCAGTAAATGCCTTAGCAAGCACAAAATTAAAAATACATAAATAGTTATTTCAAGTCCTGTATGCTGCCTTTTTTCCAAAAATCTACTTAATTGCGATGTTATCTGTAACATAATTCTTATTTCTTCATCAAAGTAACAAAAAATATCTCTGACATTTTAAAGGGCATTCAAAGATCAGTTAAAATTAATCTTAGAAAGGTGTAATCTGTAAGAAAAAAGAAAACTCCACCATATGTCTGCCGATCAGTTTTGCAACTTGTGTTATTTTCCTTTGTGCTAAGTGATCATGATATAATACAATGTCAAATAATAAGATAAGCTGATTAATAAATTGATTTGCGATTATCAGGTTATCATTTCAAATGCTCTAAGTGAAGCTTGAGTTTTTCGTCTTCAAAAATTATCTTCCCATTTGATATCGTTTTACGTTATA